AAACATAGCCTTACTTTTTCTACAAAGAAACTGAACATGTTTCCTTTTTCTGTTTTGTGCATCCTTCAACTAAGTTGAGTAGAGGAGAAAAAGGCAGTGATAACTTTATTCTTTGACTCAATCTGTGCCAATTAGTACTTTATATCTAGGATAGTATTTCCAAGAAGAAAAATTTAGGATCCATGAATTTTGTAATCTGGACAGCTGTTCCAACAAAATGACATGAGAACCCCAACTAGTTTCACAAGAGCCACTCAGTTTGAAAGGTTGAAATGGAATTGATTGAAAGTCATTATCAACTTGACCTAGATTTCCTTTAGTAATTGAAAGGACAAGAGGCTTTTGATTTAATCTGTCCCTTGTAGAGCTTTACAAATGTTTAGAGAATATGTGCAAATTCATTTTTTTTTGCAACTGTCTGTACAACAGATAAAACTTTCTTAAATGTTGCTGGACTTCAAGTTTTCTCATAAGTATTATTTTTGAAAAATTTTAAATTATCAAAGTATCAGAAGGCAGAACATTTTAGAGACAGCGTAAAGGTACTTCAACATAATACTTTTGTTAGATCATGTTGTTTCCATTTCTCTATAGCTGTAACTTATGTTAACACATAATTTTATACTTTCCTTTACAGTTAACATTCTGTGTTGTCACTGTCTCCCCTAGATGTTTGTTAATATTGTCTTAACAGCTATATAGTACTGCACTGAGAAAGGTGCGTTATGACTCAGTTACTGCTTCCATATGAGTACCAATTCTTACCTTCTCCTCCTTTGGTGTTCTCTCTCTTTCTTTGTTTTTTTTAAAGATTTTATTTTTTATTATGTATATAACATTCTGTTTCCATGTATATCTGCACACCAGAAGAGGGCACCATATCTCATAACGGATGGTTGTGAGCCACCATGTAGTTGCTGGGAATGGAACTTAGGCCCTCTGGAAGAGCAGCCAGTGCTCTTAACCTCTGAGCCATCTCTCCATCCCCCTCTTTCTTTCTTGAATCATTGACTTTTCCTATTAGGGCTAAAGAAAATCGCACTAAATTAGGAGCCACATTGTTTAGACTATGTAGCTTTATCTTGTTCAACACTCTCTAGTTTCTGCTAATCAGATGACAATACCAATGATGGTCCATTCACTACACTCAAACACTTAACTTATGAATTATATGGTGTGTGTGTGTGTGTGTGTGTGTGTGTGTGTGTGTGTGTGTGTTTGTGTGTGTGTTTGTGTGTGTGTTTGTGTGTGTGTGTATAAGAAATGATAAATATTCTCAGTTTAGTAACTAAAACAGTACAAAGTGATTAGTATTATTATTATTATTTTAAAGGTGAAAAAGCTGTGGTGGTGAATTGTTGTTCTTGTCGCCTTTGACTTTGCTCCTCATGGTCATTTGCTCCTTTTCATGGGTATGGGAGCTTTGCTTACTCTATGTTTAGACTTGAACCCTTCTTCTTTCCATTTCTGGAGGGTCTCACTATGTAAATTATGTAGGTTTACAAGGCGAAATCCTACTGGTGGATTGCTTCGATTACAAGTGTATGCCACCACTCAATTTGTCATTTTATTCAAGAAGTTTGGGAATGGTTTTCTCTCTAAAGTCTGTGAAGCAATTTAGATGTCAACCTTTGGCTTTGTACATGTAACTGGAAAGTACTGAGGTTAGCAAACTCATCTAACAGTTAAAAAAAAAACTGACTCCATTGCTATAACAAAAATAGATTATTTTTTCAAGGATATTCCTTTGGAGAATTTCTTAGACAGTATTCTGAAATCAAGAACATATCTGAATTCTCTATTACTTATAATCATATTCTCAAGGTCCTGGACATATCTTTTAGCCCAATGGCCCAGAGATGCCTTAGGATTGTTAGTTAAAATTACTTTCTAAAACTTGCTTTCTATTCCTGTTTTAGGCTAATAGAAAGTTTCTATCTTACAATAGATTCAATTATAATATTTCTTTCTATTATGAAACATTTCTAACATCGGTATAGTATGTGAAATATGTTAAGGATTAATCTTCAACAGATATTATCAAACTAACTTTATACATGTATACAGACATTTTATTTTATTATTATTTTAGAGAGATGGGGTGGCCCTATTGTATTGCCCTGTTTGACCCAAAGTTCTGCACTCAAGAAATCCTTCTGCTTTAGCATTCTAGGAACCTGGATGATTGTTTTAATGAAAAAATAGGTTCATTTTAAGTTCTATGTATAATGTTTTCTGATTTAGTCTCCTTTCCCTCTGTCTATCTCCTTGAAAATACAAACAGTATCTTGAATTTAGTCTTATTTATATAAGCTTTTGCTACATGTGTCTTTGTATAAACAGTGTGCAATATTATTTTGTATATTATGCACTTGATCTTAGACACAACATGATATGTTCTTTGTATACATTTTTAATTTATTTTTTCATAGAATATATTTTGATCATGATACAATATAATTGATTCTCCGAAGTCTTCCTACCTCAGTATTTTTCCACGAAAACTTTAAATTCTGTCATGAATATGACTTGCATTATTCACCTAGTTTTTGAGAATATTTCACATTCATACATACATTGCATTCATTTAGACTTCTGTATTGCTCCCTGTGCAACCATGCTGTGCTTTTTTCTTCAGCCCTGTCTCTCCTGCCTAAGTAGTTTTTAGAAGGGACAATTTGGAATGTGTAAGAACACCGTTACTGGGAGGACTCTTATCAGGCAGAGCAGGCTGCACAGCTGGAGCAGGAAGAGCATCTTGGGCAAGCTGCTGGTGCGATGTACAGTTGTCATTTGTTTATGGCAATTTAATACTATTCTCTTTGTAAAGTGAATAAATACTCATCTTAAAAAAGAAGGGACAATTTGAAGTCATTGCCTTAATTTTTTTTGGCTAAGCAGAATGACACTGTTGCCAGGAATTCAAATTTTCATTCCCATTGTTCTCAGTGTGTCTTTAGTTGTTTTATCCCTGGCTTAATAGTTTTGTCCCTCCTTCTGAGAATATTGTTAACATGGCTCATTAAGATTTATTTTATTCTGAGGTTTCTATACCCACTCTCTGTTTGGGATCAGCTAAATGTGAGCTAGACATTAGCCAACAACCATGTTACTTACTAAAGCTCTAACCATCATATTCAATATGTATATTTATATTTATAATGCAATGCTTGTAAATTTCATACACATTCATTGGCTGTATTTTTTTTACTTTAAAAAGACTATGGTTTTGACTCAGCAGTTAAGAACACTTGCTGTTCTTGCAAAGGAACTGGGTTTGGTTCCCAGCACCTACACGCACATAAACAAAAAGTAATAAAGTTAATGTTATCAAAAGAATAACAACTATTAAAAAATCATTTTTGGGTTTTAAATTCAGTTGAGTTTATTTTTTTGGAATTGAGTAACTTGGAATGTTTTCTTTTTAGTCTTTTTAAAGAATAGGAATTGTGCTGGTGCTTAGTCAGCATTCTGTACAGTTAAAAATGAGACTCCCAGTGGATGACCACACACACATATGCATATGGGCAGCATTTATTAAACTTAGTGGACTATAAAAAAGAATAAATGAAGTTGGAAGAAAGATGGAAAATATGTCAAGTTCTTTGGGTGTGGTGAAAGGAAGGAGTAGGGATGGATATGACCAAGGTACATTATATACATGTATACAATTTTTGAAAAAAATTAAAAATACACATTTGCACATCAATGTTCTTTTTCTGAAATCCTTAGCACTGCATTATAGGTGTTCATTAGAAGGGCAATGTGTAAGTAAAAGGATCTAGAGAGCATCATGTTAAGGATTTGGAAAGACAAATCCAACGTGCTTTCTCTTATTTGTGGGAATAAAAAACATAGAAGGAGAAGTGGGGGTTATCATGAAGTAGGAAAAGGGCCAGTGGGAAGGAGAGAGTGTAGATAATAGGGTGAGAAAATCTGATCAAAGTACCTTATATACATGTAAGATAATGCCAGTGAGTCCTACTCTTTTGTGCAGTTGCTATAGCCCAATGAAAAACAGTGAGCACCTTTAAAAAAGAATTTACTCTTGGTTGTTTACTTACTCACATATGTTTTTCTTATTAATGGCAGCTACATATCTATTTTACTTTTCAACTTCCTATGCCAGTAAGAGATTTTAGAAGCAAAGCTTTCAAGATCACCACAAAGGATTGCTTTTACTTTAATACAAACATCACTATAATGCATAGGTGAAGTAGTGCTAGCTTTGGATGGAATGCAGTAGAGTTGAAATTGTTTATTACCTGCCTTCCAAAAAAAAGAGAGAACTAAATAACCCATTATCTTAGCAGACAACATTGTTGTAAGTCCTCAATTTCCTGTAGTTCCATGCAGTCTATAATCTTCTATTTGCCTCTGTAATTTTTTTTTAGCAATTAGAGCCTTTCTTTGTGTTAATAGATAAATCTTGTTAATAATTAAATTATTTAGGTGACTCCATCATACTTAGGGTGGAAAATAGGTTTGTGAATTACTTCAATTTTTCCTTTTATGAACAAATGCCAATTACAGTAAATTGGATTTTAGCATTTGACTAAATCATCTATAAGCTAAATGAGGTTTCAGCTGAATACTCAGAATGTGATTAGAAGAATCTTATGTGACAAATAAATAAGGCACACGTTTTAGAAAGGATCAAGAACTCATGAGCCAAGAAATTTCAGATCTAAGAATGATATGTTTAGCAAAGGTTAAAGTGGGATTTTCAATTATAAAGTAAACAGAACACAGCAAACAACTGAAGCTTCTCTTGTTTTCTTCCCTGTGAGCCAGAAATGACCATATTGATTTTTGAGCTTTTTACGTTACAAGAAAATTACTGAGATTAAATTTCATGGCTTTGTGAATCGTGAGTTATGGCTGAGTGATGTGAGAGCCATGACTTCTCTTCTGGTTGCTCCTTGGTGGGCTAAAGTCTATTTTTAAAACTGTCTCTTATCTGCATTTCGAACAATAATGATGTGGTTTGTTTTATGCAGATCAAATTTTCGGAATCGGACTACTTTGGCAATGTCCTGCAGACCCGCAAGTATTTAGCACAGTCTGATTTCTTCTGGCTAAGAAAAGCTGTTCCAAAAACAGAGTGAGTACTTTGAAAAAGTGAAATCGATAAATACATTGGTGGGAAGAGCATTCTCTTTAGATTCAACTCTAATTCTCCTCATCTCAGAGTAGCCAGCTTGCCAGTTATTTTGTTTTTAGCAAAATACATGTCATGGATCTCCAGCTCTTGTTTCTAATATTATGTGGTACAGATCTTTCATCTACTGAAGACCCACTAATCTTAACATCAACACATATCCAAAGAATTCTCTTCAGGATGCAAACATTGAAGCTATCTCTAGCCATAGTTATAAACACACATATAGATAGTATTTTTATATACATTTCTCTGAAGTTTTATATGTAGGTAGAAACATTTGAAGAGTTTAAAGAATGAACACTTGGGTATAATTAGATAAGTAGAAAAATTTGAATAAGTAAGTAGTAGCTTAAACAGGGGTTCTCAACCTATGGGTCACAACCCCCAGGGGTCTAACAACTCTTCCACAGGGATCACGTATCAGATGTACTGTATATTGACATTTACATTATTATTCATATCAGTAGCTAAATTACAGTATGAAGTAGCAAAGACATAATATGGCTAGGGGTCAGCACAACATGAGTAACTATTAAAGGGTCACAGTATTAGGAAGGTTGAGAAACTGAACTAAAAGATACTCACTGAGGAAGTCCATGTCAGATAACTGAAAGCTGTATCATTTTGATCCAGTAACAATTATGATTTATTTATCTTTTCCCTATCAGTACATAGGAAAATATCCTTAAAAACTTTTAAACCCCTTAAAATGGTGTGTATGTGTGGGGAAGCTGTAGAGATTGCTCAGAGGTTAAGAGCACTGGCTGCTCTTCCAGAGGTCCTGAGTTCAATTCCTAGCAACCACATGGTGGCTCGCAACCATCTGTAGTGAGATCTGGTGCCTTCTGTTGACTTCTTCTGGCATGCAGGCTGGACACTGTATACATAATAAATTAAAAAAAACCAACAAAAACCAAAAAAACCTTTTAAACCCATCTTGAGCTAGACACTGTATCTTCCCTTAGGAAAGAAAATAGTGTTGATCGTAATAGTGTTGATGATGGTGAGATCAGCTAACAGTTATTGTGTATTTACAATAAGCTAAGAGGCGCTTTTAAATTTATGTGTGTATTTGTGTGATGTATATGTGTGCGTGGGGGAGGGCATTTTTGCCTATGCACATCCGCAAGGAGGCCAGAGGAGGACATCAGATATCTTCCTCTACCAATATTCACCTTAGTTTTCAGGGCATGTCTTTCATTGATTTTACCACTATTTTTTTCAGCAAGGCTGGCTAGCCACTATGCTTCTGGGATCCACCTGTTTCCACCTCCCCAGTGGTGGGTTGCTGGCATGTGTGTCTATGCCTGGCTTTCATGTAGGTGCTAGGGATCTGAATTGAGGCCATGTGTTTTTAATAGGAAGTTCTCTGACCCATTGATTATCTCACCAGTATGTGCTTTACAACTCTTAATTGATTTTATCATCATGTCAGTTCTGGAAGGTATAGATACTATATCCCTATTTTGCAAAGCTTTTGCTATGGTTCACTTTTTCAGTGCTTTAAAAATGTTCTTTAGATCATTTCTATTTTTATGCTTTCAACTACAGAGTTTATTTTTTCTATTTTATTTATTTATTTATTAGTTCTAGTTAGGGAACAAGCTTGTTTCACATGTAAGTCCCTCCTCCCTCTCCCTCCCCTCACCCCTATCCCTCCTCCCAAGTCCCTTCTTGCACCAGGGAAAAATACTAATCCACTTCCAGAGGCTCCCTGGAGTGCAGAGGCCTCCTCATTGACATCCATGTTCAGGGGTCTGGATCAGTCTTGTACTGGCCTCTCAGACAGCATCTGGGGTTGATGTGCTCTCCCTTGTTCAGGCCAACTGTTCCTGTGGGTTTCTCCAACCTGGTACAGACCCCTTCGTTCTTCATTCCTCCCTCTCTCCAACTAAATTTCTGATTTCAGCTCAGTGTATATCTGTGGATGTCTGTCTCTGCTTCCATCAGCCACTGAGTGAGGGCTCTAGGATGTCATAAAGAGAAGTCATCAATCTCATTTTAGGGGCAGGGCTTTTAGGTTATCCTCTCCACCATTACCTGGATTGTCAGATCGTGTCATCCTTGTAGGTCTCTGGAGATCTCCCTGGTTCCAGATCTCTTCTCGAACCTATAGTGGCTCCCTCTGATATCGTATCTCTCATCCTGCTCTCTCTCCTCTATTCTTCCCCCATCTCAATATTTCTGCCCCTCAGAGTTTATTTTTAAAACTGATTTATATTTCTGTTACTTATTTGTAGTCATCATTACCATATTATTATTAATTCTTTGAATATAGCTTAATTCTTTGAACCACATTATAATGGCCACTTTCAAATCTTAATCTATTGTCTGGGTTAACTCAGACTAATTTTCTATTGATTCATCTCCCTTCCCTTTTTCTTTTTCTTGTAGTATATTTTTTGTTGTTGTTGAAAAATGACTTTTAGGTAATATAGTGTAGCGAGTCTGGATACTAATTTACTTTTCTGAGATTTTTTTTCCTGTGGAATGTGCCTCTCTGGATGTAGTTGGCTATGGATTCCTGTGTCCAATTTTCAGTCCTTTATTTTAATTTTTAGGTTCACTTATTGGTGATTATCCCAATGTGTGCAAGCTTGTGCTCAACCAAGAGGTAGTGTGGACCTAGTGCTCCAGCATTTGAGTAGTTTGAGTGCCTTCCAAATCAGGCACCTCTCGGGCTTTCTTGGCTTTTGCTTTCCAATGGGTTTTCTGTGGTCTCCCTTGCACCAGACCTAGTATCATTATCATCGTTGTGCCTTTTTCAGTTTCAGGATCTCCCTTTGAAATTTATGACTGGATTTTTCCTTTCATAATTTAGCTGACTGAGCTACATTTTCAGCTAGCTCTTTCTTGGAGAAAGTGAATTTCCTATTGTACTGGGACGGAAAAGAGCAGTCCTAGTAAGATACCCACCAAATTCTTTTCTATTGATTCCCCAATTCTAGCAGTTTCTTAAAATCCAATGCTTTTCAGTTTACTGCTCATTTTGTCCAGTTGTTAGAGACCTAAAATGGATGCTTGTTAACTATTTTGTCCAGATTTATGCTTGATTCTCATGGGAAGGAATCTTCAGTTATATAATGCTATCATCCCCCCAAAGCTGATTTGGTGGACTAGCTTTCAAAATTTGTCTAATATTCTAGTTTCCATGACTTCGGTGGGCTCCTTTCCCATTTGAGAGCACATGCAATCTTGGGCTCTTTGTTACTATCATTTTCAACACCTTACTTTCTTCTGTATTCTAGAAACACCAGACCTTTGTATTCTCTCTTCCCTTAAGCTGTGAATATCACCGTCCCCTTTTGATGCTCTTATATACCCAGTCTTGGCTCTGCCTGTCAAACTTCCATGGGACACACGTGTACAATTGTTTTATAAGTTCTTAATTTTGAGGAATAGGCCTAAAGATTCACCAGTCCTCTACGTATTCCTGATTTTATTCAAAAGTACAAAGGAAAAAGACAGATGGTTTTACAACTTCTTGCTAATGGCAGATAATAATCTATAGCCATCTGCTCCACTGTCCTTGGTTCTCAGCTCTTATCATGCTATTTTTCAGCTTGTCTATCCCATTGCATTCTCAATCTAAATTATTCATAGGCATTCTAGATTTAGGGCTGTAAAAATCCGATGACTCAAAGCTGATGACTTCAGCAAAGTATTTTCAATATCTCTATGACCATCTTCATGTAGTAGGATAGTCATAGATCTAGGCAAGTCATCCCGGCCTTTTAAATATAATTCACAGCAGTT